TTGAGAGTATCTAATTTAAGCATTTTTTTAATCGAAATCCCAATAAAATGCTAGAGATAACGAACCTTTTAAAGATCGTTACTGCTATCTGCAATCATACAGAAAATATAATCTATACTATAATCAAGATCAGTTAAGAACTTTAAAAAACTCTTCCGTTAAAATAGGATGCAATGGATAAAGTTATCCTTAATTTCAACTTTAATTTATCGTGTAATTAAAATTACAAAAATATCCTATTCTCTTCTTTTTAAAGGTAGATGAAGAGGAGTACACTTTAAAATTTTTTTGTTTACGTATAGGAGACATACCTAAATAGCAAATGAACAATTTTCTGATATCCATATTCAGCATATAATTGCCTTGTATCTTCATTCTAACTATTCTGAAGTCTCATATGAGAGCATTGCTTTGCCAAAAGCTTGGCAATTTCGTGCCTCTTATTTATAACAGCCCAGTCCAATGGCGTATAACCTCCGTTACTAATAACTTTAACATCTGCTCCGTTTGCAATTAAACTCTCACATATTCTCGTATTTCTGGCATAAAAAAGAGGTGTTCTTCCAAAGCAATCTTTAGCTTCAATTTTAGCGCCTTTTTTTATTAGAAGCTCAACAACCTCATCTTTCACATTCATAACAGCGCTATGTAAAGGAGTATAACCCTCACTACTTTTAGCATTTATATCAGCACCTTTTGCAATTAAAAGCTCGAATGCCTTCTTACTACCAGCTGAAAATAGAGGAGTTTCATCATTATAACCACCTTTAGCTTCAACATCAGCACCTTTAAATATCTATTCCGATGTGATAATACAAATCTAGTAAAAGCGCTCACTTTTATTTAAACCACGGAGACAGAAAACGTGGAAGATCACCAGTTTGATAGCTTGACTAAATGGAGATGAATTTTCATATTAAAATTGCTACAGATAGGACCAGATGTCAAAACTGCCCCTGAAGGCCTTGGCATGTAATAGGCTGCAGCTCTTTAAAAGAAGAAACCAGAGAATTTCAAGAAAAGCATGACACTTTATATATAAGTTATATTTTTTCTTTGTTAATGGTGCACCTTCCTGGTAATAGGGACTGCACATCTAACTATGAGACACTTGGTGTTAGATTTGCGCATGGGATAACTTTATTTTTTTTTATCTGGCATCTAGCATAAGTATTAAAAATAAATATGTAAAAAGTTTTGTTTTGCTATTATGAAAATATCTGAAAGCTCCTCTCTGTAAACTTTTCCCTTTTCCGAGTTAAGTGGGGGTGATATGAGGGGGAGAATTGAAATTATCCTAGATAGTAAAATTTGTTTCCGATGTATTTTTTTGTATTTAATTGTCACACCGATGTATTTTATCACCCCGAAACGATCGGAAGTTACAAAGGTTTTTATGTACAAATATTAAAAATTTGTAATCGTAAAAATTTACTCATTTGATATTGATAACTAAACAAGTGAAGCATTATTTTCAATGTATTTTTCCTATTGCATTGAATGAGACTATGCACGAATCAATCGAGCAAATAGTTTAAAAGTTGAAAGTACCTTTATGTACTTAAAGTACCTATTTGAGATGACTAATGTATGACTTTTACTTTCTTTTGAACATCTAAATGTAAACTTTCTGATGAAAAATTTGAGAAATATGAAAGAGATAAAATTTGAGATAATTCTATTAAATTTTTTCTTCATAATACCCGTAGTTCAAAACTAGTTCTTCTTGTGCCATATTTAACTGGAGTAATTAAAAATAAGTTGTTTTTGAACAATTAATCCAAATCATTAATTAATCCAAATCACTATTACTTTGACATAAATAAAAAATATTATTAATGAAATAAGGAAAATATTTTTAAAAAGTATAGAGTAACACATAATAATTTTAACTCAACAATCTGCTTAACAATCCTGCCTAAAAAGCCAAATTGATTGCGAAGTTAGCGTGAGTGTCGGTGAGCGAAGCGAGACGGTGACATAACATTGTCTAAACTGATACATATTGCTTCAAATAGAAAGCTGCAAGCACTAAATATCCGAAATAGTCACTTCTTTAGTAAATATCATTAAAAATAGAAAAAAAAAATATTTAAAAAGGTAAATCCTTTAATGGCTTTCATTGATGACACCATAAAACAAAAACAAAGTTCAAACAATCTTAAATTTGAATAATACTTTTCTTTTACATTGAGATTTCGAAAGATTTTAAAATTAGAGTAAGGAAAATGAAGAAAAAAGTAATTTTACCTCTGCGCTTATTCAATGAAGCGTAACTTTTAGAATAAGGAATATTAATTTTTATCTGAGAAATAAGACGATGCAGATTTATTTCATTATGACATGGCTGATGGACAGTTAGAACATGCATTTGTCAGGTTAGGCAAAGAATTACTTTCATTATGTATTGAGACTCAATAAGAAAAGTTTGAAATGAAAATCTAAATGTTCGATTAGGTAAAGGAAGGATACATTTCATAAACTGATAATGAATAGAAAACAACAGATAACAGACAGCTTTATTGCATTGATGGGGTTATTTATGTCATGAATTTAATAATGAAAAAAATAAAAATGATGTTCCTTCATAATCAACACTGGTTAAACTTATTGTTAATATTTTATTAAAGTGCAAATTTAAGTGTTACGTCTTAAATAACGAGAGGTGTAGAAGAAAGTACAAAGTGACAATTTCTAAACCAATTTCCTATAAACCAATTATCTTTTAACGATTTCCATTTAAAGATCGAAAAACTTTGACTTGCATACTGTGGTTTGCAATACGCAGGTTATTCTACAAAAAAAAAAATTTTTTTCAGCTTCTGACACAGTTTTTTAATGAGTTGGATACTTGACATTTATGAATTTATTGAAATTCTTAGGATGCGTTCTTTATTTTAAATTATTGAAAACCTGTTTTTATTTTTATTTTATTTATATTTTTTTGTAATTTTTTTCATCATTTTTTTTTAATTTTTAGAGAAACACGCGAATTAACAAGTGGCAATACTTTTTGTGTAGTGAAGGAATCACGACTCTCATTAAAATAATTTTGCGAAAAATAAGGACATTTTTAATTATAATTGAGCTCGAGAGTAAATATGTAGCAAAAAAAAGCATCTTGAAAAAATCAAAAACTGCAAAAATAATCGATTGCGATTTTTAGAGATTTTATTTCAAAATATTAATTCACTTTTACAAAATATATAATGGTAAATGTTACATTATAAAACAGTAATGTCAAAAATTAACAGGGATAATAAATTACGAAAAATAAACATAACAATATTTTTCATACAAAACAAAACTCACGATACAATTCACGTTAGTTCATTTCTAAATAAACACCTTAAGGATAATCAAAATAATTATAATTTTAAAAATTCTGAAGAAAAATATCATGAACAAATTTCTGAACAAGATATAATTAGATTCATCCTGTTTAATCTAACTATAAATATTTTTCATATTCATTTATATTAGTTCTCAGGGAGCTATTGGATTTTTGTGATACGTTATTTGCTATCTATTGCTTCAAAAGAAGAGTTTAAAATTATATCTGAAATATAAATAAATAGTAAAACTAAATATATTTGCGTATCTCTCTACTTGTCCAAGGCCGACTAGAAAGATACTCATTATGTATCTATAAACATCAATACCGTTATATGTATATTATCCCTTTAACGGTAGCCATGTTCACTATTATGTAGGTTTTGAAAGCTAACGTAATACCTTATAGAACTCTATTGAAGTCTTTTGTTAAATTAGTTTGTAAGTATAACAAAATAATTTCTGAAATGTTGCAATGTTAAGTTTTTTAATTGTAATAAGTTTTTGTACACTGATATTTGGAACATATTTATAAAAACAAACATATGTAACTAATGTATTTAACAAACATATGTAAAAAATTTGACAAATTACAATTAGTTTTTTAATTTCTTAAGAAACATGGGCGATTGATGATTAAAACACAAAACTCATGTTAAAAAGTTTAATCATTTAGTAATATTTAAACACGCACGGAATAATAAGCTAAAAGAAATGATAAAAAGCATATGCCCCTTTTCTATAGGATGATCAATTGTCTCAGTTGACATTTATTGTTTTGCCTCGGTAAGTGATCAACTTACAGAAATTTACTGTTATGATAAGTATAGGTATTTTAGAATAAGTATTTCCTTAGAATTTGGTGTTGTTAAAAACTCAAACAACCACCTTTTGAGCTTAAGCCAACACGATACATAATTATATTTAATAACAACACTAATAATAACATAAACAAGAGTATTAATGATATCAGCGTGAATAAATAACAATATGAAACAACAGAGTCTATAAACTGATTCCTCTTCTCCTCAAATTTTGATGTTTTAATTGCATATGTTAAAATGAACATTGCAACTTGAGTTTTACAATGTAGCACACGCTAATAGGTAATAATAGTTTCTAAAATAGTTAAAATCAGCATGTTAGTTTTAACATAATATAATTCATACATAAATGTTTGATACTAATTGTGCAAATAACAATGAAATTTTTACTTTCTGAAAAAGTACTTCAAATAATTTTTTTTATTACTCTAAATTTCTTTGCATACCTTTTCTCGGAACAAAATTTGAAAGCGTTATTTATCAGATCATTTTAGTTTATTTTAAAATAGNCAGATCATTTTAGTTTATTTTAAAATAGCATATTAACAATGAAGTTAATAGTTATTGATTTATTCATAAAACAAATAATTAAAGGTTTCAAACAAACTTTTTCTATTCACTTTTATCACTATTCCTTAATATTTTAAAAAGTATATTTAAGGAAATTAAATTTTTAACTTTAACTTCTATTTTTGTTTTCAATTTTTAAAAATATTTAAGTCTGTTTCAAATTTTATTCTACCAATTTTATTCTACTCAAATTTTATTATTATTTCTACCTTTAATTCGTTTTAGTAGTATTTAATTGTCGAAA